CCTAACCCGCCCCTCTCTTTCCAGAGTGAAACCTCCAAGAAGCTCCCAGGCTGCCCCTCCCCTTGCCCTTAGCTCCCCACCCCCACCCTGATTATTTATTTATTGGGCTGCCAGCTGAGGGGGATGCGGTTGCCATGGGAACCTGCAGCCCCGAGTCAGGGCTGCCTCTGTTCTCAGTAGGATGCTCTTGTCTGTCTAGACGCCAACCCCTGGAGCCCAACACCAGGTGGGGGGTGTGGCGTGGGGGGCAGGGGATGAATAATGGACATGAGCCCACCCCAGCCCCAGGAAGCTGGCTGGGGGAGAGGGCAGGGAGGGAGGTGGGCTTGGGGCCACAAAACCCATCAGGAGTCTCTTGCATCCAGGCCCTTGCCAGCCAATTCTGCAAGTCAACTGCTTTCCTGGCCAAAATTCCAGTCATGTCGCCATGGACTTAGACACAGAAGTCAGGCTGTTTGAGAAGGGATGAGGGAGAGTTCCCGGAGAATGGCTTGGTCCAAGCCAGGTACTATCTCTTTTATTGACTTTAGTTACCAGAGGGCTGAGCTGTGAAGATTTCCCCATTTGGGACCAGGCAGACCTGAGCTCCATCCCCTGCTCAGCCGTGGTGTGACCTTGGGCGAGTTACTCCCCCTCTCTGAGCCTAGGAAAATGTCCTAAGGATTCAAACAGTGCATGTAAAGCTCTCAGCCCAGGGCCTGGCACACAGTTGGTGCTTGGTATATGGCGATAGGCTTTTCTGCATCCCCAAACTCAAGCCCCCGTTTTCCCAATGGATTTCTGAGGCAGCTGACAAAATTAAACTTGACTCGGCCCCTCATCCATGAAATGAGGGAGTAGGATTGAAGCCACAGACTGCAGAGCTGAAAGGACCCCTGGAGATCTGCTGGTCCAACCCTCTCATTAGGAAGGTGAGCAAACTGACAGCAGAAGGGGACAGTGACTTGTCTAAGGGGAGGGTCTTCTCCCTCTCCCTGAGCTCTGTCCCCATCTCTAAGGTCCATTTGAGTCTGAGTTGAAATAAACACCCAAAGAGAGATTGAAAGGAGTACAGTTATCGAGACCAGGTAGTCTTTGTCAGGACCAGGGAAGATGGATTTCACAGGGACTCAATTCATTGAACAAATGTTTCTTGAGCACCTACTATGTGCCAGGCCCTGTGCAGGGTATGTGGCCATGAACAAGCTGGTGTGGCTCCTGCCTCAGGGAGCTCAAGTCTAGAGACTGATACCACAGTCTTCTGGGAGCTGATGATGGGGGCTTCTCTGCCAGGTTCCCCATCCACCGTGTGCAGTGATCTGTGGGGACTCCTTCCTATCCGTCTTCCCCCCCACTCCCTTTGTTTTCCAGGGCTCCTGCAGCCCTTCTGCTTCTCTCTGTCCCAGCTTGGATCCTGCTGGAAAATGGCCAAGGCAATAACTGTTAAGTGAAATAAAACAAGCTGCAAAACAATATGATTCCATTTGTGTAAAAAAAAAAAAGCTGAGAGAGAGAGAGAGAGAGGGAGAGGGAAAGAGAGGGAGAGAGAGAGAGAGGAAATGTGTGTGACTGCAAATGCAGAGTCAAGAGCTGGGGAAATACAACAAATGATCATGAGAAGTTCTCTCTAGGGAGTGGGAACAGGGAGATGCGGAGACTTTTACTTTTAAATGTACACACTTCTATATTTCTGAAATTTTTTTACATTATACTTTTTGAAACAATGTTTTTAAATGTTGATTCATCACTTAGACCATGTAAAAGAGGCGCTAGAGTGGCTCTGCGGATCTGAGGTCGCCTCTGACGTGAATGTGTGTGGGACCCTGGGCAGGTTTCCTCCTCTGGGCCTCAGTGTTCTCATCTGTACATGGGGGCCTCTGTAGCTCCCTATCGCTATCTCGGCCTGGTGGTGCTGCAGCCTGCC